GAACATAAGATCTGGGTGCTCTCAACTAGAAGCATGCACCAGCTTTATTTTTTCCGTGTGTTTAGAGACACTGCAAATCCTACAAGTCCACCCTCTTCTGGAGATGGCATTCCCTCAGATGAATCCTTTGCATCCATATATCAGGTAAAGGCTTCACAGCCCAAATGGCTCAATCACAGCTGGACTATGGAGGCAATGTGGCTTCTTTGATAGAGGCTGGAGGAGAAGGGAGAGAATAAGACTCTTCCTTGGAACCCACAAGAAGCTATAAGGAGCAGAGGAACTCAGTGGGACAGACAGCTTTGTAAGGGGATGGTTTGCTTTGCTGCGGTAAATGATTGGCTGGAAAGAACGACTTGTGCCAATGGTTGCCAAGGCATTTTCTTTGCCCAAGCGTACAAATTGGCCCAAGGACCTCAAATTAGGGTCTCCGAGAGGATGAGAGAAAAAACATAGAGCTCCCTTGTGGACTAAACATAAAAGCCCAAGATGAAGAAACCCTTGTTAGAAATAATATTCCCCAAAGTTTTGGAGGAGTGCTGCTGAACTATGATGAACGTGAACCTCCGCTGCGAAGAATCCACCTTGCCAAATCACCCCTGTGTGTATTCTGTTTGTACCACAGCCAGCATATCAAAACCCGTTTCCTGTTTTGCACCTCAGTGCCATGATAACAACATAGTATCATGACTGAATTATTAGTTAATTGTCTACACACAGAGTTAGGAGCTTAACAATAGTTCCTGATTTCTGGAAGGTTTACTTTTAATTATGAGTAGCTAACAGGATATGGGACCACCGATTGCATCTGAAACAGCTACTTGCACAGAATTTAATGTATTTACTGCCAAAAGACAGAGATCTGAGCCAACTCAGGCATCCAATTTCATGGCTGCATAACAATTACTTAGCTCAAATGTAGCAAAACACTGAAGCCATCCCTCTGGAGGGCTCTTCCAATGTAGAAACCCTTTGAGGCTCTTTCTTGAGTCTACAGTCATTCCAAAACTCCCAGGAGAAACACAGAAATATTCCATAAATAAAGCCTTGTTTCAGGAGAGATCTTTCTCCAAAGAGCTTACAGTTTTCCTAGAGTACTGATAACACTGTCCAAGCAAGCAAACTTGTGCCAGAGACTCAAACAAACAGTCAGAAAAACCCTGAAGCCTCTTCTTCTCTTTCTTAATTTGTTTAAAGCAAAAGTGTCAAACAGGTATCTCCCAACAGCTGCATCTTCCATATTACACGTACTTCCTGGGATTTCTCTCCTCCAGAGCACAGAAATCTTAGGAGAACCTGGATCTTTCCCAGATCCATCCATGCCATAGCATGTGGGAAATTTCCTTGCCTCATGTTGGAAAACACTACCTCCCTGTCTTCATCTAGACCAACGGTGACTGAAATGCGCTCTGAGACCCAGAAAGGCAAGGTAAGAGGCCAGCATGAGAAATATGCATCATCCAAATGAAAATGTTATGATAAACAGTGGCTAGGGAACAAAAAATTTAGGAACTAGAGCTGGAGAGTTAAAACTCCATCACAGTCCTGGGGT